ATCATCTGGATTACTTCTGTCTTGAGATTCTGCTGACTCTCTCTGCAAATGGCCTTGTTCCTGATCTTCCTGTGATTTTCCTCGCTTTGAGATGGAATACCGAGAAACGGTGACTTCCTGGGAAACATTCAGAGGTTGAGCTTGATCATGTTTAAAGGCTTGGACAGCGGACTGACTTTGAACTTSTGGAGACTTTTTTGCTCTAGCGACGGATTCGCCTACTTGTCCAAGTTGAGGACAAGCCTGAGGCTCATTTCTCTTTTTGATGTCTCTCCAAATCAAAAYRGYAAACAGGCACGTAGCGATAGAAGTGCACAAGAAAAGGAGAATAATTGGAATCTGTGCTTTTTCTGTAAAGGTTCGCGCAAGGATGAGACAACAACCAAGGACCACGCCAACGACAGCAACCTTAACAAGGAGAGATTTTGTTACATGAACTCGATGCCATATTGGATATCTCAGTCCGATAAAACGTTCACAGTTTATTGCTGTTAATAGCAATTCACTTGGCSCTGACAGACTTGTGTTGATAAAAAACGCYATCACAAAGCAGCTGGGTTCAAGCYTYTTTTGGTAAAGAGTYTCCTTGGCTAAGAAGAAGGGAGATGCCACCACAGCTCTGATCAAATCAGTTAAAGCCAATGCCATAAGAAATATGTTTGCTYGTTTTCTCAAAGTTGAATTCTTGTAAAAGGCCACAAGGATCAAAGWATTRAGAAAGRCAGCCAACGGAAATGTCAAGGCAGTTGTGATGATAGCAGAAAGAGAMGTAGTAATAGACGTKGAKGTTGCYTTACTGGGATTATTAAGMTCACCGAATGATCGACAAATACTGAGAACCTCTGAAGAAGGCGAGTAGCTTGATGTGCTGTTCGCGGGCGACATGTTTGCTATCGTGTTGTTGGTCACATCTTCCGTGTGTCCAAAATGCACTGGCAACAACGGCTCAGTTGTTTTTGTAGTTTCCAACATTTTCATTATTTCATTTAAGTTTAAAGTGCTTTMAATTAAAAGCCATGTTTCCATCAWAACTGTCTGTATAGTTCAGGTAAAGTTATAATTGTTTCACCATCCTATTAAAACCTAAATGACCTAATTCGTGTCCATAAACAATAGATTCTGCTGAAATTATGTCTCYGCGTGCATTTCCTGTCTTTTCTGTTTAATAMGTTTGCAATAAACGTACTTAAAAATTGTTAGACTTTCGTAAGGAACTAACACTCAACTGGAAAACTGCTAAGTAGTATATTGTTAACTTCTAATCTGTTCATTATGTCATCGTCCATTTTACAGGAAGCTCTTAGTACCGCATTAAATAACTTTTTAGACCAAAAACAACATTAGATAAAAATTAGATACTCATTTTGAAATATGTTTGATATATTTACCATTTGAATACTTTTCAGTTACAACAATCTGGRTAAGATTTAATAAGTAGAAAAATATATTACTCGAAGATTGATTGTATAGACGAATTCGGAACAATGAATCAAGTATATTTTAAGTAAACGATTTACGAATATTTTTTTTTTTTCGTTAAAATCTTATTTTTTTAACTTCGGTTATGGATAAGTTGCCTCCTTAAAGCAGACATTCCAAGCGGTTCGATTCTCGTGCTTACGGAGGCTGGCGAGCGTCGGCGAAATAAATGCCAGTCTTAGCCATGTTATTAAGAAATTTGTCATCGTAACTCAGTGCATAAAACGTGGTCTTTGAGTAAAGACGGCCCCGGTTATTTCTTTTTTTATTATAAATTATTTTCCCCATCAATTCTTTTAAGAATGCTTACTCTGTAACGGTGAATTAAATGAAAGTTGGTTCGATTAAATTCCGACCAACTGTACGCTACGGGACAATTGTACTACGAGTGTTTGCCAGTTTCCGAAGCAGTTCTATAGTATTCTCGATATCTAACCACACAATAAACTAATCTATGTACCAAATATTACAATGTAATAGTACGTTAGCGAGTGAATACATTTTTTGAATTGTAGACGAACATGGATAAATAAAACATACGTAAAATGGTTTTCGAAACGAATTTCTAACTGTCGCCTTACACTCGAAGCGGAAACCGTTTTAAAAACTTCTTTCAATTTGTACATTTTGCGCAAAAGAATCTCAAACGACATTTCGCTCGCAGTTTTACCGATTATGGCACAGGAAGCCCATTGATTGATCGGGTGTCGGATAAAACCTAGTAAAATAGTCATGATGAAATGTCTAATGACACCACAGGGAGCCCAAGCAGTGACTTTGAACCTATAATGGTTAAAAATAAAATTTTACTTAAAAAAATGGTCTACTTTTATTTCATTCAGTGTCACAATGCATTATAAATGGGTTTTAAAAAATATCCCCTACCTATATATATATAGTGACAAGGGAGGAGACTCCGCTCGAAATTCTCCTAAAAATGAGACAAAAACGATCGACAAAAATCCTTTTTTCGCACCGAAATTAAATCAAAACGAAATTTTATCTGAGAAAGCATATGTAAATCAATGTTTTTTACCTTATTTTGGACGAGAGGCATCGATAGAAACGCTTTTTCGGGCAAAAAAATCCAAAAAGTGTCCCCAAAAATATCCCAAACCCATCCGTGTCGATGGTATTCTGAGGCCACTTGCGCGCGCAAAACTGAAAAATAGACAAATTTGGAGACTATGGGGGGACGCAACTTGTAACTAGGTTTTCTACTTTTATTCGAACGTTTCGGCACTTCAGCCTTCTTCAGCAAACTGAGTGTTTTGCACGCGCCATTGCTACAAAATCAAACGCGACTAACGGAAAACAACAAAACGCGCGCGCTCTACAGCGCGCGCAGCCAAAAAACACGCGCACTAAAMGAGCTTGCACGTGGGCTAGGACCTAAAAGCTAACCTACAAAACCAAAGAAAGCAGTATATAGTATATAGTATATATATATTCTACGCCATAATTTACATTCATATATATAATCATATGATTAGACAGAATATAACATCATAATCTTATCGTGTTTAAACCTTTCACTCGTTCTCCTATACGCGTACCCATTTAATATCCTGTCTTTTCTCAATTTTCAAAAATAGCTAGCTCGACTTCACGCTCCAAGAGCGTCTAGTTTTTTACATGAACTCGGTATGAAGTTTGGCTATTTGGAGTGCTATTTTTAGCCATCAAACATTTCTCACGCAAAGGCCCAGTATGTGACATTGTTTAGCGATTTTCTTACGAAAAACGAAATATTTTCGAAAACCAATTACTCAGCGATTGTTGCCTAATCATACAAAATATACTGCAAAATATGAATATAGATTTGATTTTTCGAGCCTTGCCAAGATATGTCTGATTTTTGTGCGAAGTGGATCTTAAATGACAAGATTCGTGAGTGACTTGTTAAACACACTTTATTTGTTTTATTCTAAGCTTTATTTACAAGATTTAAATATATTTATACATACATTGCTTTATTYAAATACTTTACATGGGTTACCTGTGGACAAATTGCTTCCACACCTTGCCACAACCACGCGAGTTCTGTGTCATTCCGTTMCAAGTTATTCTGCTTTATCATGTCGGAGAAACCCGAGTTCAAGCTCTTCTACTGGCCTGGGATGTTAGGAAGAGGGGAGTTTATGCGACTTCTCTTCCATGAAACAAAAACACCTTACGAAGATGTGTTCAAAGACAAGACATTCGATGAAGCCAAGAAAATGGGCTATGGTAGTGGTCAAAAGCATTTCGCCTTCCCTGTGATTGAACACGGTGATATGGTGTTAAGTCAAACACCTGTGATATGTCGGTATCTGGGRAAGAAACTTGACCACGGTAGATTGTATCCAAAGACGGAGAAAGATCGCCTACAAGCCGAAGTGCTGATGGCTGGAGTGGTCGATGTGGTAGAAGAAGGTTGTAGATCATGGCAACCAATCGATTATAACGCATTTTACGACTCTCAAAAAGAAGAAGCAAAGCCGTTTATTGAGTATTACAAGACAAAGCGACTACCAAGGTGGCTGRATTTCTTTGAAACTACTTTAAAAGAGAATTACTYGGCAAAYGGAGAGTTAGTCTTYGTAGGAAAACAACTCTCCTGGGTGGATCTGKSCATATTTCATTTTGTTGATGGRAATTTRGSTGAGTGYCCTGAGTTGTTTGAAAAAGAGAACACGCATYTAAAGAAGTTCCATCAAGCAATAAGAGATAGGCCTAACATCAAACCCTGGTATTATTCTGATGAAAGACCCAAGCGAACTCAAACCATTTTTTAATGTGACAATGTTGCGTGACGTGTAACAAAGCACTGCTGAAATAAAGTCTGTAACTGAGAATAAACAGTTTAGCCTTAGTATGTAAATTAGACGTTTCACTAGACTGACGTAAGATAGTCCATGTGTTCAATGCTGTATGTTAGCACTCGTGTTTGTTAAACAAAACGTTAAAAAATGTCAAAACGTTCACAATACTTCAACGACAGTAGCAACTAGTCCCTCACGCCAAAGTATAGCRTGATATTCGCCTGCTACTGCTAGTACTGTACGTTAAAAACTCCTCGAGTTTCCACTAGACATAAATTACACTCATAAAATGCTTGTTAAACTTTTATTTGCATTATTTCTATCAAATGTTGATTGTGGGATTTTGGATTGTCAGGGGCGKAGGAGGGTGTCGTGATTTCACTTGACTAATGTATTTCGTCCATGGATCTTTTAAGATCTTTTAACTGGGTTGTAGGTAGAGGAGCACAAAACAACTGCTATCCCTATGTAACTATAACTGTAACTATGCCCTAAGACACGACAAACGTCTCGGCAAGTGTTCCTTTTTTGTGCACAGACTATAGAGAATGAACTAAACCGTTATTAATTTACGCCGTCATATGCTAATTTACTTGCCACCAACAGCGGCGACCACGCTATGATGAGTGATATAGAGAATGTTAATACATGGGCGCACGGAGATACGGATTTTATCTTCTGGCGTATTAAAAAGGTCTTACGCTCGATTACCCTAGAAAATTAGTTTTATCGTTTTTAAACGGTTCTCATTTGCCATATCTTTGATATCACAAACATTCACAATTGTCAGTAGTTTTAGCTGGCACAGACTGCCTTTTGGTGTATACGATGCACCGACGATGCACAAAGGCAGTAATACAAATGAACAAGACGCTCCTGAGGAGTGTGGAGTCGGGCGAGTTAAAAAATCGATAAGCAGCCGCAGCCATTTCTTTAGCTTTTCTGCTTTTTAGTGTTTTTGGTGTCTCTTATAACCAGATWAAGTCCACAAAGAGTACGCAATGRGTACACAATTCACTAGTCTTTTTGGCGAATGAAAATAAAAACTTTGAATATACACAAAAAGTCCACAACACAACTCTATATAATACATACAAAGACTAAGAAATGAAACTACAGTCGGCGGCCTCGACCAACTAATAATACATATCGCAGTATAAYTTTAGGCCAGAATTATCGTCGTTGGAGATACTGCCCTAGTTATCGGAGGATTCATAATGGCTAAAAACTTGCATTTTTGACACAAGCTTTAAGTTCAAAAGGGATGGTTATTCCGTCAGACGCGGGTTTGCTCAAGATGATCTTCTTCAATGAATGAAAGAAAGTTTAAAAAATGTCATTGGGTAGCATTATTACTGCATGGTTTTTGTGATATCGGAAATACTCAAGATCGAGCCGAGTGTAGTCAGTCAAGGCCGAACTTCGATTCAAAATGACGATCAAAGTCAATAATTGAGCCTGCGTTATTGCATGCAGTGGTTTACTGATCAGCAGCGAGCGCGATTATGATGTCATAATGGCAATAAAGAAGCGTTGTAGTTGTCAGGCTGCAAGAGTGCCATATCTGCGTCAATTTGATATTGCGAGATAAAGGAATCTAAAAGACAAAGCGATTGTGAACAAAAATGATCRGTAAGCCTTAATTCATTTGAAAGAATGGAAATACGTGCAAGTTGGCCGAGAGAGAAAAAGTCTTCCAAGGACTTCTTCCGACGTACAGACTGAAGACATACGACTGAACTATAACGGTCTACTGACGATCTACTTCACTTGACAAAAAATCGAGTTGACATGATTACCAAAAACAGAACGCTTGTGGTATTGAATGCATTAAAGGGCTATTTGGAGGAGAATTGCGAAACATTAGATCTATCCATATGGGTCTAAAGATCATGAAGCAACAGATTTCAAGAAGATATTGATGCAAATCTATCCTTTTGTTCTTCCATYTTTTGAAACAAAATTTCTCTGACGTGGGATAATTCCAAAACAAATATTTTCCCGCAATTGTTTTTAATAGATATAAATGAGTCATATATTTGTATTGCTTGAAGTTTTGAAATAAGAGCATTTTCATGAAAGACGCACTTAAATCTATATTTTCAAAACGAATGTAGAGCGCGACAAGCCTTTCAGTACGACAATGTTTAATCTCTTTTTGAATGGTCTCTTAATGAAGGGTCGTGGTTCACCAGCACTCATTGCGGTCGTGTTCTGATAATACATTCTTTATATAATTGAACTTAATRTAAATAGAGTATTGCTGTTGAAAACATATTGTATATACCAATTTAGTATCCAACAACTTATTACAAATCGCGCGCTCTCATTGGCTGCTCAACCATGGTCTATTTAACAATAAGACCTCGAGGTTGAGTGGACTACGAGCTAATAGCCCATGAGGCCGAGTCCGCGAGGTCGAATGGGCTATTAGCTCGTAGTCCACGAGGCCGAGAGGTCTAATTGTTTTAGTATAAACATACTAATCGGTCAAATAATGAAAACAAATTGAAATATCCTTAAAATAATTTATAATTTATTTATTTTGATTTTCCCGCAAGTGGTCTATCACAAATTAGACCAWTAGTAGAGTAGCCAATCACAGCGCAGTATGAGTGATAGACCATTAAAATATGTTTATACTAATGCGTGATAGCCCATGGTTGGAGAAAACAAAAATGGCGAAGCGCAGGWAAATTCAATTTTTAGTTGTTTTTGGCAATAAAAATATTACTTTTTTGATTAAAAAACGATCAAATATTTTTGTTTTGTAGCACTCGAATGSCTTTTCAGTATTTTTACTGACAAACGAGTTCAAACCGGTTTTTTAGTGCGAGTTTGCAACGATGGTCGGCGAACGGCAAACTTGCAGTCATACTAAGACCTCAATTCTTGACATTTCTACAGTTTTCCACCCGTATCTCGATAATAAATATCGTCTATGAAATGAAGACTTCGAGGAATTGTTACTAAAGAATTGAAAGACTTTAAATTCTGATTTTGAGACTAATTTGGATGAGCGAGTAAGGCCGTGTCACACTGGCGTTTTTTCCGTGCAACTTGTGTCGCGCAAAAAAATGTTGAAGTTGCACGATGCCATGTCACACTAGCAAAATTCCGTTGCAACTTAGTTCGCACAAAAAAATGTTGAAGTTGCACGCGTAAATTGAAAATGTACGATCACCTCACTTTCTGTCTCGTTTTCTTCTTCAAAATTATCGCTTTCGCCAAAGACGGCGTCGGGCATCTTTGTTGATTATTACAATAAGTGACAACAGGACAGATTCTCGCTTTATTATGGGTTCGTGCGCCTAATTCAAAAATTTGGAAGTTGCAAGAGACCATGTCACACGCGTTTTTCCGAAAAATATTGAAAAAAGTAGAAGCCAGTTCTACTTTTCTCTCAACAAAAAAATGAAATGTTCAAGTTGCATGAGGGGGTGTCACACGTAAAAAAACGCTCGTGCAACTTCAACATTTTTTTGCGCGACACAAGTTGCACGAAAAAAACGCCAGTGTGACACGGCCTTTAAGTTCTTGTCAAGCATCTGGCCTACTTCATGTTTACTTTAGAAAGAAAGCGTACTGATGGATTATCATATTTTCAATCAAAAACTAGCTGGGAAAACTCAATACAGAAACATTCATCAATATATTCATCCTAAAATTTGTTCTGGTGTGGAATTCAAGAAAAAATGACAAGCGAGCAGCTCTATTTTTCCTTATAGAAACCGCCGAGGTTCCAATGTTMAACTCGCGCGCGCTACCTTCAATCTTGTTTACACTTGACAAGCTTTTAAATGTATTATACTACTATGCAGGTATTTAATAAATAGTGTTTTATAAATTGTTGACGTTCTATTTATAAGATTTTTGTATGATTTTTCCATTTGATGTGATTTTATCGAATCACGAGCCAGTGCTTTGTAAATTTGTTTCCTTTATACTGAATTCGCAAAAAAATGAAAATATTTTGTTTCTCAAAATCTACAAAACGTAGATAAAATGAAAAAGTTTGTTGGATACTAAAACAATTAGACCTCTCGACCTCATGGGCTAAGTTCAATAGCCCACTCGACCTTCGGCTCGAACGTGAGCGCAACTATCTGTATAAAGCCTTTGAATACATAATAAGTAGGTTAATATGAGAGATAAAGCCCTTCTCAAAACAAAGAAAACTACTTCATGTAATAAGAACTTTTATTGAAAAGCAACTAAATGTACGTTAAAAATTTTAAAACAGTTACGACTTACGTGTCATGATACGAGCCAAGGTCAGAAACAAGTCAAATTTAAAACGAGTGCATTCGTTAGAAGTACAGTTATTTTATAGTTTAGATCAGGTGCTTTTCTTTATCTTCGATAGAGAGACTCATGCACTAAATCAGCTGAGCCATTGTGAAGTTTTGTGTTTACMCTTCCACAATCCCTTTTGATATTTTTTGTTTAGCTTCTAATTGCGTTGAAATTAACGTTTTTCTAGATATTTTAATTAAAAAATGTTTTTAAAACGTTTGTTTTGGCATAGTGCATAATGGTATTGATGAAAGCATTCATCCATCAGTCTTTTCAAATTAAAATTTACGTCATGGGTTGTCAAGAATKCTTAAGAAAAAGATGGAATAAGATATACACCCATTTCAAAAAAGGATGTCAGATAACGAATCGCAATTGTCGAACGGAGGTTGCACGACCGAAAGGATCCATGGGTACTGCTTGGCGATGCAAATAACAACTGATTTCTACTGTAAGATAGTCTTTAGTAAACATTGGTTCCGTTTAGTCTCCATTTTCACTGAATGTGAACCCAACAAGTGACATGTTGCATGTCAAAGAGCGTAACCAAAGTCCCTTTCGGTCATCCAATCTCGCTTCGACGCCATTTTGTGCAGCAAAGGATGATGTTAGTTGTAGTCGTCGTACTTTTTTATGTCCAATAGAACCGTCCTCCTTAGCAGATTTGCTTTTTCTAATCGAAAATAGAATTATTTATGACGTTTCTAAAAAGAAGATGTAAAAACGGCTTTGGAGGAGATATTTTAGTGGCTGAAAAGTTGGAGGACTACAACTACCATCATGCTTTGCTTCACAAAATAGCGTCGTTGAACATTGCCTGTCGTTCGCCATTCTCCCCAACAACTTTGTTGATATAGGTATATACTCAAAGAATTGTCTGAGGATGTTTTTTTCTCTTAAAATAGCCTGAAATACAACAACAACAACATGGCTACATCAGGCGGTGTTGGACATAGCGCGAAAAGGATCTTAGGTTTAAATTTAAAAATGGTTTCATTTACCACTGACCTTTGAGATGTGAGGAGCTCTGTCGGAGTTGATTGAAAGGCAAAATAAAGGCGAAACCTGAGAAAAACTTGAAACGTATCCTGAAAACAAGTAAAAACTCATAATAGAGCTCAGTAGCATTGCGAAAAAAGAAAGCTAGAACACTGAAACCTTATAAAAAGATCGGATTTTTCGAGCAATTGTGAGAAAACTAAGTTCATTTTATTACGAGAAAGCACAAACATACCTTACCGCGGTCTCCAAATAGACATGTTAATCACAATCAGCCGCGATATGACGAATGACACTCATGTTTTGCAATTCCAAGCAACAATCCTTTGTTTGACATCATAAAATGTTGCAAAAATGCAAAAAAGGGATTGACTTTTTCAATCTTAAAACTGTCAATATTTCAAAAGTGAAGTTGACCTTGACTATGAGAGAGGTGACGCTCGCGTCAAAAGTTGTTCAAGGTCAAAATTTTGGCGGGAAACCTCGGCCGCAACAAATTTAATTTGACTGTGTTTTTTGTTCAAATTCTTTATTATTATGCCTTGTACAGACTCTTTTATATTCTTTTAACTTACCACAAACATGGTACAAACACATATTGAAATATAACCCATAATAGATATCGAAAAATATAAGTAAAATTGAGAGCATAATTTCTACGAAGAATCAAAATTCGCTAACTTTAGTTGCTTCAAAAGGGAATAAATACTGCTGCGCCATCGTGCGCCACGCAACCAGGACATTAAGAATTTATTTCTCGTTTTGCATTGTTAATATCAAGACAATTGATTAAATATTTCGATCACAACATGAAAAACGTCTGGCAATGAATGTAAAATATATGCGGAAAATATTACAACATCCACAAAAGCATAAAATATTTATTGTGTTCTTTGTCATACAGCGCTTCAAAATTCATCTAAAAACGCATTTTTGTACACACATATCGAGTCCTGGGCCGTCGCCATCTTCGCTTTTGAGATTCCCGCGAAACTCGAAATGGGCCAACATGATTGGTCAAAATTAATACCCAGGATCCTTTTCGCGCTGTGTCCAACACCGCCTGGGCTACATAGTGCATCTCGGCAAAAATCGTATGACGTCATAATGTGAGAATTAAGACCATAATCAATAAGGAAAGCAAAAAAGTCGATTTATATTTCAATGCTGAGTATCAAAATGTTTAACACCTTAGTTTTTAAAGTACGAACTTTATCGCGATCGAAGGACTGAGGAGGGTCATTACCATWCTCAGTTTATATGYATTCACCCGGCGCGTCCCTTACGCTGGCTCTGTGAAATATGATTGGCTGCCCACCGGAGGAAGATTTTTACTCTTTATGAATTCTTTCAGCCATTCTTCCAAATCGTTCTCGTTTGCTTTTCTCCATGCAATGTTCAGTTTGACGATCTCGATGGTCTTGCGCAGTAGACGTGGCATGGGTTCACCGTTGAGATTTGCACTAATGAAGTTCTCAAGCTGAAAAAGAAAAGAAAAGAAAAACATTGATGTACATCTAGTTGAATTGACGTTGTAGGGTCGTAAATGGGTGATGTCATCGAACCTAACAAAGGGGATTTTTTAAAGTACTCAAAAATTTATATGATATTTGTTACATTATATTTTTTAAACATAACACAACAAGACAGGTTTCTCTTCAGTTTGAATGTGATAACAATAGTCGAAACATTTCTTTAAGATTTAAAAATCAGTTGTGTTATTTTTAAATATTGCTGCTTTACTTGTGGTTTTACGCTCATTTGGAATTACTGTAAATGTTACATTATTGCATTACTCATAGAAAATATATATTTTTTTAAAATCAGTGCAGGCAATTTTTTTGCACAGAAATACTGTATTACGCGTAATAATATGCGCTAGATTCTATCGAGTATAGGGTACAGCAAAAGCGCCAAAAATTCACATTTTCCCAGTTAATAATTGAATGTTAAAATATTTCTGCATTTCAGTGTTCCGCCTTTGAGTTTTGAAGGTTTAATTTTCCAATATGCTTATGATAATGACGTCAAGGGAGGCTTCATTAGACATATGAACTTTGAAACAGCCGCTCAAAAATGTTTTCATGAACGCCATCTGGTAATATGGTTTAAGGAATAAAAAAACAGTTTTCCGTGTATTATACTCTGATAAAAACACTTGGGATGTGGAGAGAACACGATAGAAGCGTAGGAAACCACGACGCGAAGCGAGTGTTCTCTCCGCATCCGCAGTGCTTTTATCAGAGTATAATACACGGAAAAATGTTTTTTATATTGTAAGGTTGAACCTTCATAACTCAAAGACGCAACACTGAAATGCAGGAATATCTCACCATTCAATTATTCATTAGTCGGACTAGCCGAATCTATCTATCTATGTATTATGTCGCGTTTGGACCACCTGAAGTTAAGAATTTAATAATTAACTATTGGGTTGGCTGTATTATGACCGGAAGCTCAAACGTATTGATGTACGAATATCGTTAGTAAATGTTAAATGCTACTCGCGCTTTTATATGACAAAAAAACTATTCGTTTACACATGTGGTTATCTGTGATCTCAACGGAATGCTTCAGTCTAGGTATCATAAGTACGCGCATGTGCAGATCGCTTGGTGCTTCGAGTAGTATGCTTTCGAAACTAAATCAATGGCCTTTTTAGCGTTAGGCAGTGTTGTGTGGGCAAAGATTTCAAATTAGAACAAGAAGAAACATTTTTTATCAATAAAAAAAGGCGAGTTTAATGATTTTATAGGTATCATTTACTTTGTAAAGTATTTTCTTGGCCTGAGAGGTCAACGTTATCACTTAGCGTCACTTGTCTAGGCATAGCACGTTTGATTTTATCAGTGAAAGCAAGRACTCTTTTAAAACGTTCATTGCTATATTATAATTACATGACCTTTTAGGTCAAGTTTATTTTAGTCTCAAGAGAGTTTGGATATTTTGAACTAGACGCTCTTATTAGGCCGTGAGTTCGGATCTTTTGGAGAAAAATTAAGAAATATATATTTTAATCTAATTTTTATATTTTATGTAATATCCTCCTGTTTTTCTCAAGTTTCATTTGCATTCATAATATAATCATATGATTAAACAGAATATAGCATCATAATCTTTTCACTCGTGTCTATCAATTTTCAAAAATAGCTAGTCCGACTTCACGCCCCAGGGGCGTCTACTTTTATATAGAATCAGCTCACAAAGAATCAGAATTTTTTTTTTGTCATGCGTCATATATAGGCACTTTAAGTTTTAACTCGGGGAAAATACAAATTTTCAAGGCTATTCATTTTCTCGTGCTATCTTTTGTCATTGATAAAGGTCTTTACGCAAGGATTTCTGTTGTCAAATAAACAAACTAAAAAAAAGAAGTTACCTGCTCTAGTTGGTATGGCGTTGAAAATCGTTTTGTTATCGTCGGTAAGAATTGGATCATCGCGCCAATGGGATTCCTGCAAAAAATTAAAATAATTGCATTTAGCTTCCGTTGCAGAAAGTTTATACAACTCATCAGAAATTGCGATTGAAGTGTACAAATCCCGTACATTTCACGTGTTCAATGATCCCATAGCCTACGTACATCGGGTTTATTCTCTAATAATTGTCCATATAAAGATTCCAAAATGCACTTACTGCCCTTTCAATTGTTCCCAGTTTAGCTGCAAGAAAGTCCACGTGACGTCAGACCCTTCTGGGTTGTGATTGGCTACATCGTCTAGAAGGTATTTGACGTATTGCTCTTTCACAACCATCTCGTCATCGATTAGTTTAAGGGTTCTGTAAAATGAAGTGAAAAGGGTAGAAAAAAGAAGTAAAGAAAAAAGCAAAAATGGAAAAAAGCAAAAAATTATCTTATATATTACCTATACAAAGTCCATTTATTACGTGACCCAGCCAGTCCCATCAGCAANATTCACCCGGCGCGTCCCTTACGCTGGCTCTGTGAAATATGATTGGCTGCCCACCGGAGGAAGATTTTTACTCTTTATGAATTCTTTCAGCCATTCTTCCAAATCGTTCTCGTTTTCTTTTCTCCATGCAATATTCAGTTTGACGATCTCGATGGTCTTGCGCAGTAGACGTGGCATGGGTTCACCATTGAGATTTGCATTAATGAAGTTCTCAAGCTGAAAAATAATTATAAAATGAAAAATAATCATAAAATGAAAAATAATTATAAAATGTCTGGTCGTAAACAGGTTATTTCATCGAGCCTAATAACAAAGGTGATTTTAAGTATACTCAAAAAATTAAATGATATTTGTTACATTATAATTTTTAAAAAGACCACAACAAATAAAAAATTGAAAGACATGTTTCTCTTCGGTTTGAATGTAATAACAATAGTCGAAACATGTCTTTTAAATTTAAAAATTTCAGTTGTGTTATTTTTAAAAATTGTTGCATAACTTGTGCTTTTATGCTCATTTGGAAATGTTACATTATATAATTACTCACAGAAAAGATCATTTTTTTTTATTAATCAGCGCAGGAAATGTTTTTGCACAGAAGTACTGCATTACGCGTAATAATATGCGCTACATTCTATCGAGATAGGGTACAGCAAATTTGTTGCCTTGGAAAAAAACCCGCTGGTTTATTTGACAACAGATTCTCTTGCGTAATGATCTCACCAAACACAATGAAAATAAAGCACATGGAAATATTGTTGTAAGTACAAAAGCGCTAACAATTTACATTTTTCCCATTTTTTGAGGCTAGCCCTGTATTCCCAGAAGACTTAAAACTTAAGTTTCAACTCGGGGAAAATACAAATTTTCAAGGCTATTCATTTTTCATGCTCTATTTTGTCAATGATAAGGTCTTTATACGCAAGGATTTCTGTTGTCAAATAAGCCAGCGGTTTTTCGCTTTAAATAGGGAGTATTGATGTAAGTTTTTAAGGGGCCTAACACATCCCAATTTCAACAAACCCCTATACAATAAATCCCTGCTTGTATCCTTGAAAAGAGCAATCATAATGCGCTAGTATTAATCAGTATCAAGAGCAAAATATCAAAACAAATTAAAAAAAACAGTTACCTGCTCTAGTTGGTATGGCGTTGAAAATCGTTTTGTTATCGTAGGTAAGAACTGGATCATCGCACCAAGGGGATTCCTGCAAGGATTAAAATAATTGCATTTAGCTTTCGTTAGTGAGTTTATGCAGCTTATCAGTAACTGCGATTGAAGTGTGCAAATCCCGTACATTTGATGTGTTCAATGGTCCCATAGCCTACGTACATCTGGTTAATTCTCTAATAATTGTCCATATAAGTTTCCAAAATGCACTTACTGTCCTTTCAATTGTTCCCAGTTTAGCTGCAAGAAAGTCCACGTGACGTCAGACCCTTCTGGGTTGTGATTGGCTACATCGTCTAGAAGGTATTTGACGTATTGCTCTTTCACAACCATCTCGTCATCGATTAGTTTAAGGGTTCTGTAAAATGAAGTGAAAAGGGTAGAAAAAAGAAGTAAAGAAAAAAGCAAAAATGGAAAAAAGCAAAAAATTATCTTATATATTACCTATACAAAGTCCATTTATTACGTGACCCAGCCAGTCCCATCAGCAATGGTTGATATTCAGACGCGATGTTGTTGGATTTGAGCTGTTTAAGCACCTTTTCCCAGTCTTGTGGAGTTCCCTGGCGAACACCGTAAAAGTAGACAAGCTTACGAAGTGCTGGAGTAACACTGGAGAAAKAAATGAATAAACAATWATTGGTTGAGACTGAGTAAWAGSTATTGGTTGAGAGTCAGTATGATATAAACAATTATTTGTTGAGGCTAAGGATGATATGAAGAATTATTGGCTGAGACCGAGTATGATATCAGAATTTATTATTGATTGAAACTGAGCATAATATGAACAATTATTGGCTKTTTGTGCATAATACGTTTCGGTTCTYTGGATGGCTGTGGAAGAGGTTAATCCTCAACATGCATACACTACTTTCAAAAATGGCGGTAGYTCACGACTGCCAGTATAGGGGGACTAGGGACGAATCATGTAAACAAGACCTCAAAGTCCTTACATCTAAAAAACATTACGAAAATCGCATGTATGGCAGTCAAAGTTTGAAAGACGTATTGGTATGTTATTGGTAATTATAACAAAATAATCTTGCAAAACACCATCGAAGTTTACTATACGGAAGCTGGCCCGCTTTGTGCCCTCGTTTTAGTGCTTCGTCCCCAGTGCCCTAGTCGGCGACCGTGACATATCGCGCCATTTTTGAAAGTCGTGAATGGACTAAGAGGATGTTTGCTTTCAACTGATTTTTTCCCACGTTTTTAGGGTATCCTCAAAGATCAGGTATTAATTATAATCTCGCTCCCATACAGTAGATGTCGTGTTGACTATTTTCTAAGTAAATACCCCCCCCCCCCCCCCCCCATCACCAAGTCCAGGTTACGCCCATGTTTACTACCTTGTAGTTAAAGGGTCAGCCTTCCATTTACGAAACATATCTGTCAAATTACCAAGACATGAACTGCTTCCAGCATTGCACTGAAAACCTACAATGATCATTCTTAACAACCTAAAAAGACAATTTCAAAAACATAAATTAAAGCAACTGATATGACTACTCTAATCGATAAATGTTCGTGCTTGGAATGTGATCATGATGTGATCGATTCTTGGTTATGTTGGCATCGAGCGTCAATAGACCGAGCTGCCATTTGATGTCTTATGCAAGAGGCTAATTTCTAGAAGGTCGATTCCTCATTGTTTCTTGAATTCTATTGTTTGTTAGTCGTTATTTGGCCGCATCGCAGGTACTTTGATCGTATGGCAGTCGTTGATCGACATTCTCGTCCTCTTGCTGAAAAAATCGTAAAATCGCGGTTTGATCGTTTGAGGATCAAAAAATGATCGCTAGAATCGTGCCTCCCTTGACCGTTCGGTTTGTGAAATAATCGTTTCGTTTTTTTTTTTTTTTTTTTTAATGATGATGATGAAATAATCATGTTACTTTGGTTTTACCATGAATAATGTTCATATTAATTCTATATAGTTTTCTTGCCGGGACGATGGCATACGATCGTGCTTTATTCTTTATTGGACTGTGTGGGAATCCTGTGGAATTCCTTGTATTATTTGTGTGAGCTACCGTTTGATATTGAACGAGTTAAGATTATGTCTTATTTATCATACTTTGTATTATGATCTCCTGTGTTTTTAAATCCMAGTTCGTTGTAGAATTTGCTGCTTTGATAGGCAAGGTATCTCTGAAAAGATAAACCAATCCTGCTCAAAGAACAATTCTTGGGTTGCACGTGACGTCACAAGCCCCAACATCCGGGACTTGAATTTCCAGACGGCGGTGGTCAGGTCCAGTCGGTGCCGCATGTGTTTACTATAGAATTCACTCAGATCTTGCAGAATTTTCAATCGAGTAAAATGCCGTGGTGTTGTGTAGTTTACGGCTGTTCAAACCGGTCTAGTCGTGAAAAAGACAAAAGGTTTTATAATGTACCAAAACCTATCCTCAACAAAGGAGAAAAAGTCAAAGATTTCACCACAATACTCCGTGCAGAATGGCTTTGAATCACATGGAGCGGAGTCGAAAATCACACGGAAAATTCGATTTCATAGGAAAAATTGCTTTGCTTTAGACAATATGGCCATCGCATACATTGACTTTTTGTAGGTATCTATGCCATCGCATACATTGACTTTTTGTAGGTATCTATGCCATCGCATACATTGACTTTTTGTAGGTATCTATGCCATCGCATACATTGACTTTTTGTAGGTATCTATGCCATCRCATACATTGACTTTTTGTAGGTATCTATGCCATCGCATACATTGACTTTTTGTAGGTATCTGCCTCGCGAAACAGCGTCTAAAGCTCGACAATAGTCCGAGAGTTCGACAGTAGCGGCCGCCATCTTTGTTAACCTGACCACTGTCTGGAAATCGACCGGCTCGAAAGTCACGTGACTGAAACCCAAGAATTACCCGTAGAGGATGTGACAGGCCAGGAGGGAAAATGATTCTGATTACGATGTTTCACGAATATCAGATGACCTGATAAAATAGATCTTTTTCTTGCTAAGACAAAACGATCCCCCAAAAATATGATAAAAATGTATGCTTATGAGTGGCAGCCATTTTGGCAAAAGATAAATCGCGCAGGCACTGCAACAATATTAGCAATGAATAATCARATCACGTGACTTCTCAACTTCCCTAAATCAAACGGATATATAAAACCAAACTCCAGAGATGGAAAACGAACCCCAAAGTTAGTAAATATGCAGCTTATAAGCTGATTCACGAGCCAAGTTACGACAGATGAGAGCTTTTCTATGAGTCCAGACTGGTACGTTTTGTGAACTATTATTAAGAATTATTCAAACCAGACTGAATCCGCAGTATCAATAATTTTAAAATGCTCTTTTAATTTCTGCATACCATTTTGGCATCGAAGCTTTTTTTTAGGAGAGTGGAGATCACGTGATCTGTTAATGAAAATCGCTTATTATATTTTCATTATTATACCATATCCACAGAACCATTATTATACCATATCAACATCAATCAACGTTACCTTCAAATGGTGGGCAGTATGACTGTGATCAGGTAATATACTTAGAATATAACCAAAATTCTTCTGAACAGCYACCCAAGGCAAGTAGTCTTTCTCTGGGCTGTCTTTATTATAAAKATACTGAGTTATATCGAGCGCTCTTTTGATCCCTAGACGTCCTCCCCTGTTCAAAAATATATATTTTTAAATGTTATATCAAAGATTTCATGACATTAGTTCAATATTTTAAGAAAAATAATTACAAAAATACAAAGAAACAACAACAAATTCGTCAAGGACAAAGTAAGTAGTCAAACACTACTTTTACAATTTATTTCTAAATCTACATAGCTGTACCTACCGTACGAGGTTAAAAGCATCGTCGATGAGACCATAGCGATCGACTTCAGAGAAAACCTGCCGAAGAATGAACGATGTACGATCAACACCAATATCAGCAGGTTAACGGAATTGGAAACTTTATTGAAATCAGGCACGGGAGGAGGTACTGGGACATGCGGGACAAGATTAGAGGAGAACATGCTCAATACGTGAATGATGAGCCAAAATAAGTCGATCAATCAATTTATCAATCAATCAGTGTAATCAATCAATCAATATCAATCAATCAATCAATCAATCAGCCATTGAAATCACTTTTTTACTTAATCAATCAGTGCAAAAAATCCATCAGTAGAATCAGTTAATCAATCAATCAATCATGCAATCAATCAATCAATCAATCATGCAATCAATCATTGAAGTCACTCTTTTACTTACAGGCAATCAGTGAAAACAATCCATCACTATAATCAATCAATCAATCAATCAATCGATCGAACAATCGATCAATCAATCAAACAGTTCAAGCAATCAGCCAGGGCAATCAATCAATCAATCGATCGATCGAACAATCAATCAATCAATCAAACCGTTCAAGCAATCAGCCAGGGCAATCAATCAATGAATAAATATCAATCAATCAATCACATTTTATCATATTCTACCTTGTGCCAGTGGATTAACTGAGCAGCCAAGCTCGCCCAGGTTACGTCATCATAGTTAACACGATAGAAACCTGTCTGACCACGATTTCCTTTAATCCATCCCTTACCGTCCCATGATATCTCAACTAAAACATTGAATTGCAGAAAATCAATACCATGCAAAATGACTATAGCTCTACGAAACATGAATTTAGAAATGCGTACAGAGTCTAATCCAACTTTACTTTCCAAAGCTACTGAGGAAGCAGCTATCAAGCAGGAAAACAAGTGGCTCGAAATGATCAAGAGCACTTCAGACACACTCCTCCATCATCAGAATGCTTTAGGGACATGCTAGCAAAAATTAATGTCAATGACATAACTCAATCTAGTCGTTATTATGACCCATGGGCATCACAGTTTTTTCCAGCGCAGTTTAATTGATATATTTTGAATAAGAGGATTAATAAAATAAAAAAGAAAGATGAGATGAAATGACAGTCGTTAAAAAAGACATTATAGATAGCAACATCCCACGAGAACAGGCGTTTCCCCGTGAAAAAAAAAAAAACATAAAATGTAAAAATAATACGCTTTAGAATTAATGACATCAAGCAACACCACCAGCATTCGTTTTTTAATTTAATTTAATAACGAATTTAATTTAATTTAATTTAATTTAATAACGAATTTAAAAATTTCAAATTCGCCAAAAAAAGAAAGAAGGACAGAAAGGGAGAAATGAAATAATGAACAATTGATAATTGATTGTTACCTTCTTCAGCGGGTTTAGCGTCTTTCATTATCCATTTATCGTCCTTTTGATGCTTTTTTCCGTCAATAGATCTATTGTCCTTATGGTAGAGATACGAGAAACGCACTCTCCACCTGTAGGTCGTACAAATTCATACTTTTAATATACAGCTACAATGGGAGCCATTTCTAATGGGACAACACGATTATTTTGAACAATTTACATAATTTTCCTGTTTCCCTAACCCCCNCAATATATCTCTGAAAGGTACAAAAATATGAGCTTGTCCCGTATAATAATGTCCACCATTGTAGTATAATATCTATTTCACGGTTTTTGGTCTTTAATCTTTTTTACAATTTAATAGACAATACTCCATTGTCGAAATCAAATCGAATAACCGCTGTTGTTTTTGACAGCAGATTCTCTCACTCTTACCAAACACAAAAGAAAGCACGAGAAAATGTTTGAAGTACAATAGCGCTAACAATTTACATTTTCCCCGAGTTGAGGCTAACCCAGTATTTCAAGAAGGCTTAAATCTTAGGTCTCATAGGAATACAGGGTTGGTGTCAACTCGAGAAAAAAAAATTTAAAGGCTTTTGAAAAACGACATTTTTTTCGTGCTGTCTTTTGATGAGATTTTTACGCAAGAGAATCTTCTGTCAAATGAAGCAGCGGTTGTACGCTTAAAATTCAAAAATCGGAGTATCTTTGTTTCACGGGTTTAATGTCTTCACTCTAAACTAACTATGTGCTAACTTACATCCTTTTGTCGACTTTGGCAGCTTTGTCGTAAACAAATCTTTCTTGTTGAACGACGTACTTTCCACCATCACCTTTCTTGACGGTAAGGACGGGATAGTTGGTCTCTGTCATCCATGTTTTCATCAACTCCTTGAAGTCAGCGCACTCCTTGTCAGTACACGTCTACAAACAATAGAATAGTTAAAAAGTAGAGTAGCTGATTTAGGGTACAGACGAAATTTTAGCTGATCTATTGTTTTTATTATTGAACAACACACATTTTCTGAAGCGGCGAGCTCTATGCACTGATAGTACCCATCTGCGGCGTGCTCTATTGATTATGTCGGATTAATTAATTGTTTGTGTACATTTGACTTACATGTTGTAGAGCTTTCCACATGTCTGCCATGACGGCGTTGTCGTAAGCGTGATCTTCCAGGTATTTCTAATAACGATGCAAGCAAACATGAATAACGACTTCAAGGGTATTTCATTGCATGCGCAATGCCTTTCAAGCATCGTAATGGCATTTTACTTTTTTTTCTTACTTTTATTTTCTTTTGTTTCAAAAAACATAATAAAAAAGTATGATTGTTACATACAATAGGACTGAAGATTTGCAGTTTTACGAGAATTAAGACATCAATTGGTTAAAAATAAAGGACGCTGTATTCTAAACGAATTTACACAGCATTCTGTACTGGGTTCTGTGGTGAACAGTAGGGGTCTAGACCTTCACTGGAAAAAATCGCTTAAAAGGTTGTAAATTTGATGTAAATATGATGTAAGTCTCCAAAATTCTGTAAATTTAATGGAAATCATTTACATCAAATTTACAGAATTTTGGACACTTACATCTTATTTACATCAAATTTACAACCTTAAAAGCGCGCGATTTTTWCCAGTGCTTTTTCACCCGTCCTGACGTASTACCTGGGCACGAGAAAAAAGTAAATGCTCACGTCTCTAGGCAACAGTCTCTAGGCATCAAGTACGATCTGTCTTCGTGCTGGCGCCCGTACCATGGCTAGTATAGAGTGTTTGCGCAAAAGATTTCTTAGCATATCAAATAACGCTTTACCATTTTCAAGTGCAAAAAGATAAACTGATGAAATGCTCATAAGAAAATACCTTCATTCCTGCATTGAAGTTTTCTTTCTTTGGAAAGACATTTTTAAGCATATTCAAGAGAGCAGAACCCTGTGAGCAAATAGCAATTTCAAGTTATTGGTTTCTTCAACTCGAAAAAGCGTGATACATATAATAGCACAGTCCTTTGTTTCACGCCTAGCCCAGAATTGCCCTATCGCATAATTACGTCACACCAAAACATCCTATTGTCTGAACCCTAAGGAATATGTTCGCCAGAGGGGATCAGAGTGACTGCATATCAAATACAATGTAGATGAGCTATCATTGATAAATTACGTACATCAAAACTCGTTACTTTAAAGTTCTACTTTCAGAAATAATGTTAATATGTCCAAATTTCAAGTCTTTCTGAGCATCTATCCCAAAYGAAAACATACTGTGACGTCAATTTAATAGGAATTAGGGCCTAGTTTCAGTTGTCGAAAAGTATGTTTTGGATGAACCATTAATAATCATACCTTCTTGTAAACAATATCATCGAACGTGTCAATCGATGGCACAGGCGTCGGCTCGGCTACTGGACGACTGTTAACCAAACCATCAAGTTCCAAAGCATCACCGACATTGGTGTGAATAAATAGATTATCCTGGTGAAAATCATTCAATTAACGGTGAGAATTGTGTATAAGAAACAGAAATAAACAAACAAGGTTTGCAGGTTTTGCGCAACATTTTTATCATAAACTAAGTCCTATTGAATTACTCAAAAGTACAAAAGCCGATTTTAAAGGAACATCTTTTTAATTTCGTTGATGTTTATGGATGGCTCTCTGACGATGATTTTTGAAAATACCATTATTCCAAAGACAACATGGATGTAGACTGCAAATGCTGATGAAGGGTATTCCAGTAGGCTTTGGTAATTTTCARATTTTCAAGGACTTTTCGACTGTTCTTTTAAAACGATTTTCAAGTCCAGAGTTTTTCAAAGATTTCAAGGAATAGCAAGAACCCTGGCCTTGATAAAATCTTACATATACCGAAATCAATAAAAATATGGTGCGCTGGCGATTGTGGTGAAATGTTGACATGCGTAGCGACGCCAATTTTTAAAGTATTATGGGAAAAAACATCATTTGTACTTTTTTAGCTGTTGTATAAAAAAATCACCGTATTCTTGCTTCTTYACAAAGAAAAAAAAACAGGAGAATAGTTCACAGAAAACTTAAAAGAAGTTCATGGACGACAGTCTGCAAGGACCATTTTTCTCACCAAGCAAAATAGTCTCGCTCGAACAAAATATATACAAAACGTCAAACGAGTAAACAACTGTGTAAACAGGCTAAAAGACATATGAAAACAAACAAGCATATGAATAAGTAGGCAGATAATAAAACAACCAGGCTTATTCTCACCCTTTTCCAGCTGTCAAGAGCTTTTGGTGATCCATCGTGATARGTAAAGAAGTCTGTAACAGCTTCATTCAGCCAGATATCATTCCACCACTGGGTTGTCACAACATTACCAAACCACTGTACAAGAAAAAAAAAACAGATTATTAGAACAAAATCGAAGTGAAAGAAAAAAAACACGCAAAAACATATGTGCAATGCAACGCGCACTGCAGCTCAATCTTTCCTGAAGGTCATTGTGACGTATCTTATGATAATGAGCGCTCATTATAATTATGACGTCAATACGCGCGCTCTGATTGCCTGGTGAATGAGCGCGTACATCAGCAATACAACGCGCGTTCTATCTAAAAGGTGTTTTTATGTTTTCTTTGTAGAAACGAAACAAATACGTCTATTTTTACTCAAAAAATCAAAACCTGGACTACAACTACCATTATGCTTAGCTGTACAAAATGACGTCGCTGCACATTGCCCATGCATTGGCTGGCCAGCGCTCATATTATGACGTTTTTATATAACGCGCGTTCTGATTGGTTGCGGAAAGTGTGCATGCGCAAATTGCTAAAAGAGCGTTCGCTTTAATTGGTTGCTTATTTTTCGTTAATTTTTAAAATAAAACGCGTACTCTAATTGGTTGATGGTTGTGCTGAGGTCACTATCCATGACGTGTATCTATATCAACATGAGCGCTGAATTTGGGTATGTTGCTCACTAAAAGTAGCGTACGTTCAACTTTTAAGCGAAATCAAGTTATAATGTGATTATTTATTTAAGAAATATAAAACGGCGCGCGTGTCTCTGTCCTCTTATATAAACACGGTGGGAGTTCGAAAAACACGGGAGAAGCAAGCTTAGGAACACGGGCGTAGCGAGCTTTTCTCTTACTTCTCGAGTGTTTTTCAACTCCCTCCGTGTTTATATCAGAGGACAGAGACACAAGCGTCCGTTTTATATTTCTTTTATAAAATTTTTCGAGCGAAAAGAAAATTTTGCCGGTAAGCCGTGTCTCTTATACATGCACTTACCATGTGAACTATTTCATGTACTAGCCATCGTATCAAAAGATTTTGCTGGATTTCTTCAGATGAAAAATCCTTTTTGTAAAGAAGTCCATCTTCCTCAAAACGAATAGAGCCCCAATTTTCCATCGCGACATAGCACTCRGGTGGAGCTACAAAGTCTGAAAGAACAGTTCAATCTTCAGTGAGATTTTTAAACACGGAGCGATTGCTGATGCAAAAACGTGCCCCATTGWCTGGAACATAGTCTCCTCTAGCAGCCGTTAGGAGTCTCGAGGATCATAACGGCTGCGAAAGGAGACTATTGGGGAGCAAAGTTTTTCATGGTCGGCATTGGGTCGATCCKTTTTCAAAACAAAAATATCCACTCTATGTCCTCCCTGCAGTAAAAATGACTTCCTTGTCTTAGTTTAGTGGTTTTTCGTTTTGAATTCGCATTAGATAAAAAATACGATAGACAAAATTCCGTCTAAGACGACAAAAAAGCCCCAAGTGTAGATCGGGTCTCATTCCGAAAGTCGAGATCTTTTTTTAGTGATTTTGATATGTATTTAATTTGTGAAAAGGTGCRGTTTGGTATTAYATTGTATTAACCTACCTAACTTTTTCATGGGGTATTTAATGCCAAAAGTGTTTTCCATCTGTGTCAATGTTTCGTTACCCATTCTTAGTGAAAAATCCATCTGGTCAGTATTACCAGGTTGGGCAAATGCTCTCAACTGAAAACAAAGAAGACAATGAHTTAACAATAGAATAACAATCTTCCTGCAAGCAGAGGATGTAGGTCTAAAACGGATAATTGTAATAATTTCAAACAATTTTTTTAATAAAGAAAAAGTTATAAGGACTATCAATTACTGCAAGGAATTCTATCTATGATCCTCGCGTCTTTTTCCATGAGGAAAAATCAAGAAGTGATGCCAAAGTAAAGAGGTCACGAAACAAGAAATCATGAACGAACGATTGGAAGAATTCTCCAGTGAAGGAATGAATAAATAGATTCCGCCTTTCTGCGTTAGCCTATAGCCGATGTGCAGCGAAGCCAATTGTGCACCAAAGCATGATGGTAGTTGTATTTAAAGCTTATTATGTCAGCTACAACAGTCCTTCTAAGCAATTTTTGCTTTTTCTAAGCAAAAATAGAAGTATGTRGTTGCTCCCTTTTCACAAAGAAAATGTAAAAACGGCTTTTAGRGAGATATTTTAGGGTCTGTAATAAGTACCATCTGTATTATTACAAGTACCATCATGCTCTGCTGCACAAAAGGGCGTCGCTGCACATTGCATATTTTTGTGAGTCTCATATCGAGAATAATCCAGTCCTCAGTTCTCCTTATATAGTATAGAGTAAGATAAATATAGAGAGAAGAAGAGAGCTAACTGTCTTGCCCAGTAAAACAACCTAACGCCCGGTCTGGGAATCGAAACCTCTGGTCTTTAAACCCAAGTCCGATAGCTTAACAACCATACTTTAGGATCTTTAGTACCTTGACGCCACTAGAGGTTATCATCTGCTTGTATTGAAAATGACCAACGACAATCGATACCAAGTACGTTGACATCTTTGGAGTTACTTTGTAGTAAGTCCATTTTTCCTCTCCTTTCAGTTCCTCCTTCTCCACTTCGTTATTGGATAATCCTATCATGTCTTCGGGGTATGCAAAGCTTATTTTAAACGTGGCTTTGAGTGCAGGTTCGTCAAAGCACGGAAATACCGTGCGCGCGTCGAGGGGTTCGAGTTGTGTCGAGATAAAAGCCCTGCAAATGGATAAGAAAAACAGTGAATTTATATAACAACAACGAAAGCATTATGAAAAAAAATGAAGAAAAGAGAGTAATACACTGAAACGCAAACGTTTTATAGAAACAAAAGATACTGAAAACATTACTCAAGACTTAAAAATCTTTTTCCCGTTCAATGTGAGCAACCGCTGTTTAAGTACACAACAGACTCACTTTCGTAGAGAACAAAAGAAGGCACGAATAACGAATAGTCAAATTTAGTTTACTTGCGTATTTTATCTCTTAAAAATGTTCATTCACAATGAAAATGCAATCCACAAAGCAACGATGGCGCGATCGTGCTTGATACTCTCATCAAAACACGCCTATTGACCAATCACAGCGCGTGTTATATACCAATTGTTTTTGTATTACAGCAAGTTTTCAAAAGGAGGAACTCTTGCAGAAAATGGCGGAAAATTATCGCGGAAATTGGCCTTGTTTCATCAACTTACTTATCTTCAATCTAAAATGCAAATGACAAATAAAAAACGACGACAATCAATGTGTTTTGAGGGTTATGTCATTTTTCTACAATCATGGAATTTATTTTGGTGGACACCCTTTACGATAGTTATCTTTTCCAAATGGTAGACATGCACCCCCCCCCCTACCACCCACCCCCCTCACCCCCCACACACCCACGATCAATTTTGAATGACAACTATCAAAATGAGGTCTTGCGGGAACTTCAGAAGCAAGATATGCCATTATCCAACATTACCAGGGGGGTGGAAGGGGGGATAATTGTCTGAAATAATGTAAACATTACAAAACAAACAATACAAATACAAGGTGTCCGGTATATTAATTCCTCCATTGAACGTTTTCTTTTTATCTTTTTATGTAATAGTTAAAAAATTATAATAATAATTTGTTCAGGAAAAGGGGGACCGCGTGTCCTTCGGCTTCCCGTAAACAAGTAGTGAAAGATACGTTTAATGAACTTCTATCGTTGAATAAATCAACATGAGGCTGCGCGCCAAGGAAGACCGCCAAAGACCCACGGATGGTAGTCGAAATTTCTGACAATCACATTTCAAAACTCTGCTCATGAACACGAATATTTATAATTTCTTCAGCTTCATGTCCGTTGCGCAGGTGACCATCAATGTTAAAAATAATCTSAAGTCAGAAATGCTTTATTCACACTTATAGCAAGTGCTGAAGAAATATTGCTTGGACCGAAATGGAGTTATGACCGTCATGCGATCTCCTGGGCATTTCCTATTCAAGCGAGTACTAAAGTCTAGACTATATGAAGCTGTTTTTTTTTTTTCATTTTAATAGTATTGAATGATTTTTTGTTTTGTTTTGTGTCCTCTAAAAAACTTTGCATCATGTCGCACAGAGCTGAATGGATAAGTAAATTACAGTAATAGATGAGTAGTAATTTATGAAAAGAAAATTATGAAAGCTTAGGCTGGGTGGCATTTTAGTACCCAGGTCCTTCTCAGTTTCCCAACGGAAAATCGAAACTAAAAAGGATTTGGGTACGAGAAAGAACTGTGTGGATGATCGAATCAATAGATAATCAATGGATGGTAAAGAAGAATGGATGAAACGTTACGTAGACGAGCGGTAGAAGAGACTGAATAAAGAACAGAAAAATGTAAACAGATTGGCCGGAATGAAAGTACAATTCATTAAGCCAAGTCTTCCTAGTGCAGACGTTTAAGCGGGCGCTATTTCATTTTTCTCGACGTAATCTCATTATCACACATCACACATATATAACATTTTTGTTTTTGTTTTTGAAAAAGATGGTACTATCATTTCTAATCTAAATTATTTGCTAAACCTTTTTTTTTTTGTCATTTTAATGTTCTAAACCCGAAAACAAAACATGGATTTTCCCAGAGTCTTTGCGGTGTCGGCACACCGCTGACATTAGCCGTGAAGACCCTGACCTCGAGATTGCGTTTGTATTTACATGAAATGGAGCACGCTTAAACAGGTGCCGGAGGAACGACCTTGTGAACACTTACGCTTTCTTTTCATTTTGCCCTCTATAAACTCCTTTGAACAAACCGAAAAGACTTGTCCTGTATTTACCRGAAAAMTTCAAGAACAGTCCGTAGCTGCCTTTAGACAATGCTTCATTTGGCTTGATAACAAAGAAGTTGTTCTTTTGGGCAGCAAATGTTTTGTTGATAGCAATAGGTGTTGGATCTTAAAGTAGATGAGTTTCACGTAAGGCAGTTGAACACATACAATCAAAAGAGTAGAATAGAATTTTAATAGAAAAAAATGGAATATGGTCCTATGAAATATGAGACCAAATAAACAATTGGGGGGGGGATGAGGGGGGAATGGGGGGGTGCTTACGTACCAAACTGTCATTATGACGTCATATGGCTTTTGATTTGAATTAAAATGAAACAGAAAARTTAATTCGAAACAGATCCTCACACACGCTGCACCAACGGTTATTTTTTGGCTTTGAAAGGGGGGTTATGGKCATCCTGTGACCCCCTGGATACGCCCCTGTTACTCTGGTGTATTAGTGTAATATCTATTTCACTTCAATTAAAGCATTGTGTACTTTAAGCATAGTATCTTTATATTTTGTACCATATTTTTCACTAAGTTTTCTAGATTCATGTACAGATTTTTTTAAATTTTTTTTAAATTGATTAAAATCAATGAAAATTGCATGACTACTGAAAAGAATGAAATGCATAAAATATAATAATGCATGCTTGTCCAAAAATTGAATTGAATTCTATTGTATTGCATCGTTCTTAAAAGTCTTGTTTTGTAAAGCTATTGTTACGTGGATACAATACAATACTATGCACAAATTTGTCAAAGTATTGGACAACCCTCTAATATTGAGAAAAGAACATTTACAAAAAAATATCAGTTACCGATTTTTTTACCTGTTTCTTTTGACAATGTTGTCATGGTAATATTCAAGCCATTGGAGTGGATTAAGATGTAAGGTGTTTTATCTTCACTGACAGATACTGTTATCATTTCATGGCCATTAAAGCCATCTTTGTTTGGATCTACATTGAAGTGCATGTTATAGTGCGATGGAGTGATAGATCTTGGTAGTCGTATGTTATCCCAAGGACCACTGGGTAGGGAGGGTGGGGGTTTGGTTGTATTAGTTGGTTTGGAACCACCTTCCTTTCCAGGCTTTCCAGGTGAATCACCAACAACAGCTAGGAAAAGAAAACAAAAAGACCATTATAGCAAAAAGCTTTTTCAAGACCATTTTGATTTTTTAGGCCTTCAGGCATATTCAGCCATTTAACATAATTTGTTTCATATTGACCAATCAATTTTCAATAATAATTTAGATATTTCCTATCTTACAGCCAAACATTCTTTTAAAAAACACTGAATTGTTTGAAAATTCATAGTGTCAAAAGTTCCACAACCTCCGTTCCTGATTCCAAATTTCCCCAATTAGCATCAATGGAACATTTGCATAATAGCCTGTGCATAATAGCATTAATTTCTTTATGTCTATAAAATATTTATATTACAATGTAGTTGATACCGGAACAGTAAAAATGCAGCATTTAATATCCTTGCAAGAAAATAATTCGCATGAATTGAAGTGTCTAGATATTGTCAAAATCCCACTCAACTCCCCTAACCACTTGACTTGGCGTTGCGTGATACATTTATTGAGTTCTTTTATGTTTCGTGATAATAGGTGTGAAACTTCCTTGACACCTAAGCGAGAAATAAATGTGTTTTTGTTAAAGGAGCTAGAATGCATCTTGACAAACCTCTGGAATCATATTTAAACTTGGGTTTCAATCTAATGATTTCGTCCATTCATGCATAAATAATTCTAAAAGGATTTCGAGGGTTGTGTCTTCATAACACGAGGGTCAACATCGTAACCGAGCTTCAAGTACATGTTTTACCTAAAAAAAACTTCATTTCCTATCCCACAATATAAGAAAGAAAAACAAAACTTACCGGGAACTTTGTCTTCGGACTTTGCATTTCCAAGTAAAGCAGCTAAAACGATTACAATAATCAGGAGAATAACGATCAAAATTATCAACAAAAGAGCTACGAGCAAAATCTTCTTTTTCGTATACAGCGCCATTCCTTTTGGGATTTCATTGACCACGTAAGTATCTTTACTGCCATCGTTTACTGGTTCCAAAGGAACAYCCTCGTGTGATTTTCGCATTGTTCTATAAATGCTAACGATAGAAATTACAAATTGCTCGTCCGCAGGTTGCTTAAACGACACCAGACTTGTTGTTTTTATGGATAGTAGTTATGTAAATTTATTCAAATTTCAATAAGGAGTTTGGAAAGCAGTTCGTTCGGAATAAACAAATTTCCTTGCAAAAATCATCCAGTGTTTCAATTCAACATAAAACACGAAAAATGTGAAGATATGACTGTACAATGTCCTCGATGCTTGGAGTTTTCGTMTCCCATTTCTTGTCTTTTTTGCTTTCCTGTTGAATGGGTTCCCTGTTTGCAACKGGAGGTCACCTGCTAAGCACGCGCGCCTTGGTAGCTCTCTTGAGGTGGTATCACATATGCAGATGAGACCGTCATCAAAGTATTTGTATCAATTATACTAAAATACTCCTTTTACCCATTCAAAGCGAGTCACCCCTATTTTATACGACTCTTTGCCAAAAGAAAGCACGAAAAAAATTTCATTTCAGTAGCCCTAAAAATTTAAATTTTATCCGATTGAAGGATAAGCCTGTATCCTGTGGGCCCCCAAAAATCTAAAACTCAAATGTTTTATAGGGGTATTGTTATGATAACAATTTTTACATACCTTCCTAATATGTTATTGAAAAGATATAAATTTGAAGACAGCATGGCACTATGATAAACACGATATGAAAAAATGACCTCAAAAATGAAAGAAAGTTATAGTGCTTAGAAGCACTAGAAGCACTATAACTTTCTTTCATTTCTATGTCGTGTATATGTTATTGAGTCTGTTGTCAGCTAAAACGGCGGTCGCTCGCTTTGAACCGGAAATGGCATGTTTTAGACATAATTAAGTTAAAATTTACTATGCAGCTGATGTCAGTAGCAATTACAAAGTTTTTTCTTCTACATTTGCCATAGCTGCTACACCAGCTGATGCTTTTCAACAGTGTAGACACTCCCCCCCCACATAACCATCATTTCCATACATGCATCAGTACTTTCGGAGAACAATGCATCCGCCATCTTGAAAAGTGGGACTCGAATCACTAAAGGAATTCAAAGGTTCTCAGCTAATTTTAAGTTAATATAATACGATATAATGATAGATTACTTGAGTTAGCAACTATCAAATGTGTCTTAATGCACAACATAGTGGTTCGGACCTCACTTTTAAAGATGGCGGACGCATTGTTCTCCGAAAGTACTGATGTATGTATTCTGATAAGGGTTCTGGGTGCTACTCGTCCTACATCGCAGCACGGGTGCAGAATGGCGAAGGACGCAGCTAGACATGCTACTATATTGCAGACGCACTTTGCATACACTTCCACATAAGCGTGCTGCCAGCTTGGCGCTTTGTTTCCTTTTCGAGCGGAGTATGGGTTTCCTGTGGTGGACACGGAATCCAGGACAGACGGAAGGAAACGGGCGGGAACCCTGTGTCGGTCCATGGAAAAACGACTCGATGGTATACCATTTTTTCTTAGCTATGGTGGCCCGCGCGGGAGCTCCGCTATAATAGGATATAATGATAGATTACTTGAGTTAGCAACTACCAAATGTGTTTTAATGCACAACATAGTGATCATAGTGATTCGGACCTCACTTTTTAAGATGGCGGACGCATTGTTCTCCGAAAGTACTGATGTATGGGTTCTGGGTGCTACTCGTCCTACATCGCAGCACGGCTGCAGAATGGCGAAGGACGCAGCTAGACATGCTACTAAAGTCAAAGTGCTATATTACAGACGCACTTTACATACACTTTCATATAAGCGTGATGCCAGCTAGGCGCTTCCTTTACATAGCTATAGCAACGTCGACTGATCGGGTAGCACAGCAGATAGGAACGATTCGCTTTTACTTAGGGAGAAAAAACCGGAACAGACCCTGAAAAATCCTCGAGGCCGGCATGGGAGACAACCCCGGAAAGAAACTCAAATCACACATGGCGTCCCGCCCGAGATTCGAATAGAGGGTCCACAGAAGTGACAGGCCAGCGCTCTCACCCCCTCGGCCACCATTGCTTTCCATAAGCACAGATGTTGTTACTTGATAGTCGGGACGAATCATAAGAATTGCAAGTTATTCCGTTATACCTCTCTTGATCTCATGCTAGGAATACGCATATCTTTCATTTTAGAGCTTTCGATGGACACTTACTAGGAAAAAAGGATCGAAAAAGAGATGATCTAACCATTTGTAGATGAAGAACCAAACGCATGGAGCAGCAACATATTTGCTGAATTATTTTAAGACCCTGAGTATTGGTCCGTCCACGTTCTTACGAGATTTTATTTGAACACTATTGAGTGATTTACAGTGTTCACTATCTAAAAACCGTGCACAGTTTGTGGTTGCTACAGTTAAATACATTAATAAGTCTTGTGCACTAYTTAGCATTCGCCTTTCCACTCCTTCAACCTTATTTAAATACTTGTCTTCGTTTCACCGCGAACTCGGGTTTCGACGTTGTAGTGTCTATTTCTCAGGCCGCTTACATTGTAAAGCCTGGCGACAAATGTTGAATTATCGAACATCATCAAACATAGCTGTCCAATTTAACGTACTCTGTCTCTGACATGCTTYTTGCTTTCCAACTAGGTTTTCCCAAAGTCCCTTTTAGTCTCCGTGCTCCACATATTTTCCCCGAATATTCACTCGGTTCTCAAAGTCCAAAGAGAGTCCGACTACTCGCCTGTGAAGTCTACTCGCCGATAAAGGGGAAATGTCTGATCTTCTACCTTGGAGTTTTGGTTTGAATCATTTCTTACTTCGCTTAATGTGTTCACTATAAATTTTAATTACGATATCTATTTATTCTGGTTTAACCAGCGAAGATGTGAGTTTTCTATAATTTACCTATGAAAATTCCAGTCATGTCCTCCCCTTTCGACCCGCTTACAACTCGCGGGGAAACAGAATCCAGTACAACTTGCATGCGCATGTCAGCTTAGTCACCTCGGGATGACCACATCAATATTGTGGATACAATTCTTGTGCAATAAAAACAAGATATCAGGAAGACTGATGAAATGTTATTTGTTGTCAAATCATGCACTAGAAAAACGACACTATTCCTTTCCCTTGTGAGCAACTGTTAATCTGATTGATTGGTTCTGCAAATGCGCATGTAAAATATATTACTGGACTCTATTTCCTCCGTGAGTAGTGGGTCGAAACGGGTCGAAACGGAAGCCAGGACTGGACTGCTAACAAATAGATCTTCTCCAATTCTCTGAAATTCTAAATAGAATGAAATTAAATCTACATTCTACTAGGTCTGGATATGAAGAGTCATGAACAAGTCTCCATATCCAGTGACTGGAGCGTATTCGCACTATCCATTACAGCTTTACGGCTGCTTTAAAGCTAGAAAAAAAGCTGCCAAAGCTCTTCCGCGTTCCAGCAGTGCTGACCAATATGGACCTTCGTGTACACTTCCTATAAACTGAAATCCAAAATCGCTAAAATATTTCATTTCATAGCGAAACCTCATTATTGTTTGTTTGTTTTAGTTTCATCTTACATATTGCTGCTTTTGGAGGCTTTTAAATGACAATAAGCTACATGTTTTGCTTCTTGAATGAAAGTACCCTCTAAGATTTGTAGGAAGGTATATYCAGAAGGTCCATTSAACGATTTATGAATTGCTAAAGCCCGGTTCATTGCCAACAGGGATACTTTTACTTTTGAAGAAGTCCTGTAACCACTGCTCGAGATCGTTCTCGTGTGCTTTACGCCATGCAATGTTCAGTTTCACGATCTCTAAGGTCTTGCGCAGTAGACGTGGCATAGGTTTACCGTTGAGATTTGCATTAATGAAGTTCTCAAGCTGAAAATGAACGTTGAAAGAAATAAATAATAAACGATTGAATAAATTGGACAATGAAGAATGAAAGAAAGAGAAAATCAACAAGATTAGAAGAAAGAAAGAAATAAACCAACAGACAAAGGAAGGAGAGTGAAAGGAACTGGGTACGAATATGCAATAGTCTTCTTCATGGTTCTCTGTGCCATACTGAAAGGTAGCCGTGCCTTTGCATCGAAGCGAGACGACCGTTTAGCGTGCAATGATAGAAACCCTCTTTCACACCTAAAGGCAATTATTTACAGGTATCTATCATTGCATGCTCAACGGTTATCTCGCTTCGATATAAAGGCACGGCTACCTTTCAAGATGCCGCAGGTAATCGTGAAGGAGACTATTCATTTGAAACTCATCTGTATACATTTTCGAGTTGATTTGCTTTCGAGAATCTTTGAGTCGTGATTTGTAGATACTGCAGCATAGCATCAACAGGGTTACTGAAAGGACAAAAAATAAAAAATAACAATAAATAACATGGTAAACATGCACATGAATATTCTATYAGCTTGAATACTAGTACCGGTAATTAAAATAATCCAGTCGATGGTAGTACAACAAAACGATGATTAATCGATAATGATGACAATCACTTCTAACCTTCCTTTGAGTTTGTCCCAGTTGAATTTAATGTAAGACCACATGATGTCAGGTCCAACTGGATTGTGATTGGCTACATCATCCAGAACGTATTTAAGATACTGTTGCTTTACGATAGATTGGTTGTGCATCACCTCGAGGTATCTGTAAACATAACGACTATGAAGATAGAGCGGATTTCGTATGACTGTGCGAAAAAGAAGGCACCATCGAGCTGTGACCGTACTGTACTTCACAAGACTCGAAAGAGCCATAAATAGGAGAGATCACTGCATGAATTTACCAATAATTTCATTTGGACATGCGATCTTAGAAGGACAATAGCTAGAAAATGTCCACTGAGAGACGCCATTATATACAGCAAAGCATGGATGCATCTTCGAACTCTAARAAGACCCCTTTAAAGTTTCCTTTTTTGTTAAAACGCAACTATTGCCACCGCAAAGATAACATAAAACGAGTGATTTTGGAGTACGTTAAAAACACGGAAGTACTACACCAACCATCATGCTTTGTTCTAGAAAATAGTCTGTGTGGCTATACACTGACAAGGGGYATATCGAGTCATTCTCTCCAACAACCTAATTTGTTTGTGTATTACACCGAATTGAATACAAATGGTAATCATACTGAATATAAGTCTAAACAAAGAAAGCTACCAATGAGATTACCTGTTTAATACACCAATATCACGTGACCCAGCGAGTCCATACAGCAAAGGCTGGAACTCTGAGGCAATTGTGTTCTTGTAGAGTTGTGTAAGCATTAGTTCCCAATCTTCAATGGATCCATGGCGTATTCCGTAATAATAGACGAGGCTGCGCAAGGCCGGTGTCACACTTAATAAAGACGTAAAATAAAATGGTTTAACAACAAAACAAAACCTAGTAAAACTATTAGAGAAACAAATAAACTTGTTCGYGTATGGTCTCRWAYACAAAGCAATGTTTTACCTTTAAATTAGTTTTTGACTTGATTACCCTTGATGCGTGAATACATTACCTTGTGGTCAGCGGATCTTTCTTCCATTTCTTAAACATCTCTGTCATGTTTGATAAACAAGATTTAGAACCTGACTGACACTGAAACTCAACCACTGTCTTCCGCAATAACCTGTAATGATAAAAAAA